TTTGTGTGGTTTTAACCATGTTGTTTGTGTGGTTTTAACCATGTTGTTTGTGTGGTTTTAACCATGTTGTTTGTGTGGTTTTGACCATGTTGTTTGTGTGGTTTTGACCATGTTGTTTGTGTGGTTTTGACCATGTTGTTTGTGTGGTTTTGACCATGTTGTTTGTGTGGTTTTGACCATGTTTGTGTGTTTCTAACCATGTTGTTTGTGTGTTTTTGACCATGTTGTTTGTGTGTGGTTTTGACCATGTTGTTTGTGTGGTTTTAACCATGTTTGTGTGTTTTTGACCATGTTGTTTGTGTGTGGTTTTGACCATGTTGTTTGTGTGTGGTTTTGACCATGTTGTTTGTGTGTGTATTTTTGACCATGTTGTTTGTGTGTGTGGTTTTGACCATGTTGTTTGTGTGTGGGGTTTTGACCATGTTGTTTGTGTGTGTGGTTTTGACCATGTTGTTTGTGTGTGTATTTTTGACCATGTTGTTTGTGTGTGTGGTTTTGACCATGTTGTTTGTGTGTTTTAATGGTTGTTTTGTTTCTATACTCCAGGCGGTGAAGCTGACCAGCTCTCGTACGCAGCTCCCATATGAATACTACTCGCTGCCTTTCTGTAAGCCAGATTCTGTTCTGTACAAGGCAGAGAACTTGGGTAAGAGTGAAACACGAGACGGTGTTCAAAAATAACTTTTATTTATCAATAAACAAACTGTTCAGTGTTGATGTTTTGACTAAAAACAGCTTCATCTTCCTGGAAAATCCTAAACGTGACTCATTCTGACAAAAAGAGTCACAAAAACGAATATTTCAATATTAAGTTGTTTTCAAAATCTCCATCTCAAAAGCTTTAAATTCAGCTCATCTTTGTTTATTAACGTTTGTTACTTAATTGTCTGGCAGCATTTAGTTTTGTTTAAAAAATGCTGATTTGAAAGCTGTTTTTATTGGTCTAAAGTGATGTCATCGTGAATTCTAGCCACATAAAAAGGGGAATTCTCCAAGCTTCTTAGTGATGCCAAACATTATACGAAGGGATTTCCTGTTGCTACAACAGTTGGTAGAGAACATGTTTTGAATATGAACCTGTTATTTGATTTAAACCTGTGAATAAAATGTATTTATTGTACAAACAGTTCTTGGTTTATCTGCATATGTGACTCTGATACATTCCAGTTATTTCTAATTTGTAGGTGAGGTCTTACGAGGCGACCGTATCGTGAACACTCTTTACGGCGTGCAGATGAGCAAAGACAAGAAGTGTGAGATGATGTGCAACAAGAAGAAGCTGAGCGTGGAGGAGAGCAAACTGGTGGCCGAGAGGATCCAGGAGGAGTATTACGTTCACCTGTGAGGAGCTCTTCATCTGTCGTCCATCGTCTGCCTCCATGACGTTCACCTCTGAGGGTGGAAAAAAAAGCTTTAATGTCTAAATACTAACCCAGTTTTTCTGTGCATGTTTAGCATCGCAGACAACCTTCCAGTCGCCACCAGGTTGGAGTTTTACACAAACAAAGAAGCAGGAGGAGAAGATGAGCTGAAGGAGAAGCCAGATGTTCAGTTTGAACACGGCTACAGACTCGGCTTCGTTGAAAGCAACAAGGTAGAGTCTTAAACTGCAAAGCTCGGTCGTTTTGTTCAGAGATAAACTGCTCTCAGTTTAGTGTTGGGCTGTGAGACCAAAGTTCTGTTTGACTATTTTTCTTCTAATGAGTACATGTACGTGTTAACCACCCATTGAGATTACCCTCTACTGACTGAGAAGGAAATTACTGCAGTAGCTAGAAATATTATACTGTCATGTCCTCACAATTATTATTATTATTATTATTATTATTATTATTATTATTATTATTACAT